ATAAAATCACTTTTACTTATACTTGATGCGTATGGCTGAACTATTATTTACTCATTAACTAGATTGTTCATTAGATATTCTACGCAAAATGGCACATTTTGCATATTCGTACGCATTTCTATCGACCAATGAAAACAGAGTTTCAGTTGCACTAAATTAATTAAATTAACTTTTAAGGTAAACATGTCTTACATGTGTAATTTAAAGCTAAGAACGTATGTCGGAAATATTTGCAATTTTTGAACCTGATATTTAGCGTTTAAAAATAAATTTTTAAAAAAAGAAATATTTAAAATTTTGTTAATTATGACAAGTAATTAACAAAGCAAACCTTAAAATCTTAAAGAAATAACATTCCAGTTATGCTGTTGTTAACATTTAGTTAACAGCCAATTAACAGTTAGCATTTTTACACATAAATAATATTGTTGACAATATTAAACATAGAAATACAGATATTCCGATTATAACTAAAGTTCAATCATAGAAAGAAAATAATAATACGTATAATATAAAGTATAATTAAGAATATACTATAAGAAACAAAAAATAATGAAATAAAAAAAATAAAAAAATAATAAAATATATTTGTTGTTAAAAAACTACACCATTAGTTCTTTAATAAAAAATAAAAATTGCAATTTTCATAGTTGCTAATAACATTCATGACCCATGGTAGGTGTCAATAGTAGGAAAAATAAACAAAGGTATTCTTCAAACAGTTCATTTTAGCTCATATTTTGCAGTTTTTAATGTTCTTAGCTACAGTATCTACTAATCGTTGCTGTTTTTAGTACTGTTAGATAGCACTTTCATTTGTTTGGCATTTTAATGCTGTTACCAAATATGTACTTTTATTTATTTTACTAATATATAAATCACGTTGTTTAAAGCTATAGAGGAATACAAATATTTGAGGAATTTATATTCAATGTAGCATTTTAAAAAAAAATATAATATATTATATTATTATTTTAATAGTGTTATAATAATTTTTTAAAGCAATCCCGTAACCATTCATATTAAATTAATATTATATATTAATATATTTTTTTTGTTGATTACATTGCTTTCTAAAAAAATTGAGTTTTGCTTAAGTAACTCTATTGAATAAATTAGAAATCTTTTTTTGTCAACTATAATATTTTATATACATTATGTTATTTTTAAAAATTGAAATCAATAAAATATAGAAATTGTGATAGACAGTTATTTATAAAATGTTATTTCATTTAGTTCGTTAAAAAGTTGATTGCAATGAATTTGCTTGTTTTATAAGTAACTCCTACTTTAATCATTTACTACTGATTTGATTACTGATAACAGTTGATTTGCTTTAAATTGTGGACTAATTGCCTTCTAGTTTCTGTAGTATGAAGTTTCTGTAGTGTGAAGTTTGAAAATAGCACTAACTAATATTTATTAATATTTATGTGTTAATATAATGACCCATGCTCTTATGCGCCCAATTAAGGTACATACTCGTATAATTTAATATTTCAATTAAGTAAAAACACTTGAATCAATTAAGCGAATCAAAACAAATTATTTATGTCGCTTGAATAATAAAACATGAGCAACTGTGATTCGGAAGAAAATTTTGTTTTTCATACTAAAATTAGTACAATATTTAAGTAGTTATAATATTTCTATATTTTTGTGTACTATATAAGGTTGGCTTATATTTTTACTTATATATATATATATATAGAATATATATAGAGTATATATATATAGAATAACATATATATATATACGTATATGTTATTTTATATATATATTTATATGGATTGATAGACAGGGTTAACTAAGATGTAATTATTTGAAAGAAGGTTTGAGATAGTGATAAATAGAGGTGGAAACTGGAAGCCGGTACATCATTCAGCAACAATGATTATTAATTAAAATCTATGAAATTTGATATTTTTTAAGATATATTTCTGTAAACTATAAATCTACTTATAAAAGAATCTATGAGTGAAAAGTATAAATATAGTCTTCAGCACATAAAACCTTTAATGACGCTGGTAGCAGAATATAGTGAAACCATTGTCTATATTATAAATATAAGTAAAGAGTAGAGTTAATTCTATTTACTAAAATTTAATAATAATCAAATATCAAGATATCTGTAGAGAAAATAAATTATTTGAAATTTTTAACATTAAGAATATTTATTATTCTTCATTTTTATTGTTAGTGCTTTTATCAAGTACATTGGGTATTATTTATTTTCTTAGCAAAATAAGATAAAATGGGCGATATCCCCTGATAGTAACATAATTATTCAATGGTTACATTTTTTTTGCTTCATTAAAGTTTTTATGAAAATAAGCAATTATTTAAAAAGGAAAAATTTATACTTAAATTTATGTAGCAGATCAATTTAAAAATGTTGCTCATAAATACAAATTACCAATTTATGCTGCACCCAACGACTAATGATCTATCGGTTAATTTTATTTAAATTGCAGTTGGACCAGAATTTTTTATTCGGCACTCATAAGTTCTCTGAATGTGAATGATTGAATTTTATATAAGAAAATAAATATTTTTGTGTAGGTTTATTGGTATTCTCGGATTTTCAACTAAAAAAATTTTAAAAATTAAAACTTACCAACTAAAAAATGATTTCGATTTTTTTTAATGAATTTTGGCATGCGCAGATACTGGTTTTAATTGCTGGAAATTTATTAAACCATAACCAACCCGAACGATTAAAATAATATTTTTATGGAAACTATTAATTAAATATTTGTAAAAATCAATGAAATCAATATGATCATGTTATTACATAAAATTATTAGAATCTATTTGGAGTTACTTGAAGCGCATAAATTGTATGTCATAAGATATTATAGATTAATTTGATATAATCATTAAGTGATTTTATTTACAAACTTGCAATATCTGCTAACATTTTATTTATTTTATTTTTTTTAATAAATTGCTATCATTTTTAACATATAAAAATAAAATATTATATTTATATTTAATAAATAAAAATGATTTTAGATTTTTCATTTCAACTTCAATTTATTAATTAAAATTGAAATTCTACAACTGGTAACTAATAACCAGTAACCAACAAAAATATTAACTTTAGACTCGAATTTTTTAGAAACTGTTACGTTATTAGATATATTTAGATTTAAATTGAAAGTTTTCTTGACTTGATTAACAAAAATTACTTTCTTAACATTTTTTTCTTACTGAACAGAACATGTTCACATTTAATATAATATTATAAATATTGTACAAATACTTTTTCGTATTCTTATTTTGGTACTGTGAACCTGACACTTTGACTTATGTTTATTTCAATAAATATGCTTGTTAAGTTAAGGTCCAACTGCCTGTTTGAATGCGGTGAGGTGAAATGATTCACGTCTTAACTGATATGAGTTCAACTCAGTAAAGCAATTCACATATGTACTCAAATAAGTGAAGTAACTAGTTAGTTAGTTAGTTAGTTGCGGTGGAGGGAGGAACGAGTCCTCCTCAATTAGCTAAAAAAAGACGTTTTGAATCCACAAAACCTCGTAATAGTGGATAGTAGAGAGAAGGTCAAGCTAGAACCAGCCAGAAGTATTTATAAAGGCAAGAATCTGGCCAATGCTAATGCTACAGATATCGCCAAGTGTATTGAAGAAAGGAGCCTAGTTCTTGCCAAACCTGGACATAGACATATCAGGTGTTCTGATGATCTTTTCTTCGAGATCTGGTTGACACACATTGCTGGAGACACCGCAGGGTAGGCCAAGTCCAGCTCCCTGCCTTCCTATGGTCAAGTGCCCTGTAGAGTCAGATATAATAGATATTAACCTTGTTACATCTGTGTATTAGTGAAGGAACTAATTATATTAATATTCAATGTTGAGAATTTTTTGACTTTTTTGACACAATAAATTATGGAACAATAAAGTAAAGAAGGTTAACACAATTGCAAATTATGGATTAACAATAATTACAAAGATTATAAAAATCTTCACGCTGAAACTCAATTCAGTTCATTGACTAAATACTTAAAAACACTTTGACTAAATATAGAATTTATGCAGGTCACGATGCACTGGTTTTCATTCATAAGTTTTTTGAATGAAAATTATAGTATTTCAAAAGATGCAATATTAGTCACGATTTTATTGTTATAAACATTTGAATTTTTCGTTTGTTTTATATTCAAACGTTCTTAGATATTGCATGATTTAATTTTTTCACAAATGTTTGCTTAATAAAGTTGAAATATCTTTATTATTTTTAGATTTAAGAGAAGGAAATACTATTCTTCTATGTAATAAAATTAAATAATTAATTTATATTTCTTTTCAATACAACCACTGAATTAACTCATAACTTTCTATAAATTTAAAACTTGAACTTTTGACAAAATAAAAATATTTCATGCATTTCATGCCATGCAGAAATTAGTATAATAAGATACTCTTAACATTACAACCTTAGATGCGCCACAGCTTCCCTTGATATTCATTCAATTACTTAGATATTTTTAACTATTTGTTTGTAGTTTTTAAAGTAGTTATCAACTGCATCAATCAATCTTTTTCATGGTTTTACTCTTACTCTTTCACCATCAACTTCAACATTATTTTTTGATGATTGCACTCTCCGAATGGTGCAGTACAAATGCTGGCTATTATAAAAGGGATCATTGGTTTTTTATTCATTATCTATTCGGACTGATTTAGGTAATCTAAATCCTTTTCTTACAACTTAACACCGTTTCAGTAGTCAGTTTCTTAGTCGCACAATTTCTTTATGCACGAAGATATACGAGGAATAGTCAGTGTATTCGAAGCTTTATTTCTCTATTAAAAATGCCACTCAAATGTCATAAAGATTAATGTCTATAAAATATGTTTTTATGGCACATATTCTTAAAGTTAACCATCACATAAATTGAGCCATTCAAATTGTTTTTAATAGAACAACTTTTTATTTGATAAATTTTCTTTAAATATTTTTGTTTTGTTTTACAGACAATGGGTTCTATGCCAAGAATATCAGTTGTTAAGGGTCAGCAACAACATTTGAGTCCTAGACCACTCTACAGAATTTTTGAAGAAAATTTAATATTACATCATGCTGAGAAGACGGCACTCATTTTTAATGATAACCTCGGCACTAACACAATACAAACTCCTCGCCTTACCAGTTATGATCAAATGAATCGTAGTGCAAATCAATGTGCACGTTTGCTAGTTAACCGAAATTGCTTTGCTCAATCCAACAGTGATGGTGACTATATAATTGCAGTTTGTATGCAGCCATCAGATGCTTTGGTAATAACATTGTTATCAATATGGAAAAGTGGTGCCGCTTACTTGCCAATCGATCCTTCCTTCCCCGCAAATCGTATACAACATATATTACAGGAGGCTCGACCAATATTAGTTATACATGATGACAACATTGCTGAATCCAGATTTGGTTTAACGCCTACAATAAGCGCCTCAGAATTATTCAATAAATCAGCTGAACTCGACCATGCCAATTTGTTACCCGAAGAAATGTTGGGAGGAAGTAATACAAATCTAGCAATTGTGCTATATACATCAGGTAGCACAGGTATTCCAAAAGGTGTACGATTACCACATGATGTTATTTTGAATCGTTTGCAGTGGCAATGGAGGTATGAGATTGTTTAATATTCCATTTCGAATAAATCATTAAAAATTGTATTCCCTATAACAGAGTTTTTCCATATACTACTGATGAAAAAGTGGGAGTATTTAAGACTGCACTCACTTTCGTTGATTCCGTTTCTGAACTTTGGGGTCCCCTTATGTGTGGTAAGTATACAATTGCTATATTTAAGGAAAAATAACTAGCTCTCATTTTTTTTCTTTTCTAAAGGTCTCGCTATTTTAGTTGTACCGAAAGCTATTACCAAAAATCCTGAAAAACTTGTAGACATTTTGGAAATGTATAAAATACGTCGATTGGTCCTTGTAAGTATATATTAAGTGTATATCAGTGTAGATCACTCCGTCAATATTTTCAAAATATGTATATCTAAATTTATTAACATTTATAACATTTTTAATTAATAATTTTTACTTCGTATATACTACTACGAGTATAAATATATATTAACTAACAGTATGTTCAAGTTGTCATTAGCTTGTAATAAATAATATAATATATATTTATTGATATTATGTATTACATAAATATAATAAAAATTTTAATTTATCATTATTATACAATTCATAATCTATATATATATATATATATATATATATACTAACTAATAGTACATTTAAGCTTTAAGTACTTAAGGATTTAAGGACTTCTTATAATATACTTCTAATAATATAGAACTATTTTTTAAAATTGATTTTCAAGCTAATCATTTAAGTTTATTTTAATAAACGGATCATTGTATACGTCATCCAATTAGTATTTTGTGAAATACATTTCAATTGGGATAAATCTGGTACTAGAATACAACAACTACCTGTGTCACAACAACAATTGTATTATATTTATCATAATTCAAATTATGTACTTCAACAAATTACATTTATTATGATACTATCTGTTTCTGCTTGACTATATAGTAATATATCACTTATTGGCACTTAAATATTACCATAAGAATAAATATTATTTGATAGTTAATTAAAAATATTTTCAATTTTATATATTAGTATATATAAAAATTTGTTTTTTATTATTTAAGGTACCGACATTGTTGCGTTCATTACTTATGTATTTAAACTTGGGTAATAAAAGAAATCAAAGTACAAAATTATTGTACAACCTTCAGATTTGGGTGTGCTCTGGTGAGCCACTGGCACATTCGTTAGCGCTGAACTTTTTTGACTATTTTGAGGAAGGAGTGCACACACTTTTTAATTTTTATGGTTCAACTGAAGTCATGGGGGATGTTACGTTTTTCACCTGCGAAAGCAAAAAACAACTATCTTCCTACGATCGTATTCCTATCGGTATAAACTACTTCTAATGTTTTCTAACTTATGCTCAACTAATAAAACAAACTTCTAGGTATCCCGATTTATAACACTGTTTTATACCTGCTTGACTCAGATTACAGACCTGTAAAGAATGGCGATATCGGAGAAATATTTGTGGCAGGCTTAAATTTAGCAAATGGTTACGTAAATGGACGTGATCCCGAACGATTCATCGATAATCCCTTGGCAATGGAGTTAAGTAAGTTAATTTCATTCAATCATTTTACAAATACATTTAAAACTATGATTTCTTGTTGCTTTTATTTCTTATTCGATTGATTTTATATAAAGTAAAAAGCTCATTTAAGCACTTTCATAAATAAATTCTATAAGATGTTTTATAAATAATTACTTTCACAACAGAATATTCCCGTATTTACCGAACTGGTGACTATGGATCCTCACAGAACGGTTGCATTATGTATGAAGGACGCACAGATTCTCAAATAAAAATACGTGGTCATCGTGTTGATTTGTCCGAGGTGGAAAAAATTGTATCTGAGCTGCCTATTGTTGATAAGGCCATTGTTTTATGCTACCATGTAGGACAAGTCGATCAAGCCTTATTGGCGTTCGTCAAGTTAAATGAGAATGCACCATTGCTAAATGAGTTACAAATTGAAGCCAAACTGAAAGATAAACTTGCCGAATATATGACTCCACAAATTGTGCTTATTGAGCATGTGCCCCTACTTGTTAATGGAAAAGTCGACAGACAGAGTTTATTAAAAATGTATGAAACTGCAAATAATAACGAAGGTGATAACAGTATTGTGCTTGACTATGATTATTCTTTGGTTCCTGACGAACTTAAACCGGCTGCACGAGACTTGTTCGAAACAGTTGGTCAAGTTATTGGTCGTTCCACACGTGCTACTCTAGCGCTGCAAAGTAACTTTTACAACTTGGGTGGTAATTCTTTAAACTCTATATTCACGGTAACATTATTGCGTGAAAAAGGATATAGTATTGGTATATCTGAGTTCATTGCTGCAAAAAATTTAGGAGAAATACTAGAGAAAATGGTAACAAATAGTAATAAATCAACCGATGAAGATTGGGTTACCGCTTGTCCTCACTTAAATATGGAAGCAATTCCACTGAATGATTCGCACAAAAATGATGTTATTCAGTAAGTTCTTTATGGTAAATTATTTTACATTAATGATCCCTAAATTGTATTATTATAGGATTATAGTCGACAGTTTCTACGGTAAAGCCGATTTGGAACAGTGGCTTAAGCCAGATATTTTACGTACAGACTATAGCGATCTAATACAGGTAATTACACTTCACACAATCGTTACGAATTCTCATTTTTATACTTCCTCTTTCTATACTTCCTTATTTTTGATTTAAATTACAAAAATTTGCTTGTTTCGTGCAAGCGTAACAACTCATTTGCTCTTTCGACTCTGATTTTTTGCTCTTTCGAGTCTGACTTTTTGTTGCTTTTGTGTAATATCTTTCGTCATTTGAAACTTGTAAAATGATATCTTAAGCTCATTTTGGAATATACGTCGAATGCTTCATTTCTTGTGCCACTGGATTACCATTACGACGTGGATTTCGTTCATGTGGAGCCTTAGACGCTTGTGGTAGCTTGTAAACAATATAAACAGCTGTCATTCGTATGAATTTGACGTAGTTGGCAATATCAATTAAGCAGATATACCTGTGTGTAGTTAGCAACACTTCAATCGCTTAACCCAATATATAATGTATTTTTTTAGTCCTTAAAGAATCATTTTTATAATTGTATTAAAAAAAATTTTTTTTTCTAATTCCAGGACATATGGAAGCCATTAGTAGAAAAAAATCTAAGTTTTGTTGTGCGTGATAGAAATACTAATAGAAACATTGGTGTTGCACTTAATTTCGATGCACGAGATGAACCAGAGGTAGAAGTTAGATCCAAACTAATTATAGTATTTGAATTCTTAGAATTTTTGGAAGGACCAATAAGGTGAGTCTACTTAAATAATAAGTTAAAAACAAAAATACTAGTAATTTGATTGTAGGGATAACCAACTTCCAAAGGGTCAAAATCAAATTTTACATTCTTTCATGATGGGTACACATGTGGAGTTAAATGCACGGGAAAACATCGCTTGTATGCATTTCATGGAAGATGAAGTACTAAAGGTAGCCACAGCACATAAATTTGCTGGTATTTTAACAACAAATACAAGTCCGTTAACACAGGTAACATTATATTATTATTTTTTTTTTTTTTAAATAACTAATGATAACTTTTACAGCAATTGGGTAATGATGTCTATCACTATAACATGTTACTAGATTATCAAGTGAATGAGTATGTCTACAATGATGGAACGCGTCCATTTAGTAACGCACCTGACACACAACGAGCCATAGTGCATTGGCGAGAAATAGGGTCATCACAATAATCACTCACAAAAGATTTCAAATTATGCTTTAACCAACATTGACTAGGGCTAACACACTTAGAGCAATTCGAATTTGTATTTAAATTAATTATTAATGTTAAGAAAGCACAATCAAAATTATTGAAAAGTGCAAGTACCTGTTATACATAATTTAGTAGATTCCTAGTTTCACTTAAAACATTAATTGTGTTATGTGTTATTTAATTGTAAGTCGACGTGTATCGTTTTGATAGTATTATTTTAATAAACTTTAGTATGTTGTCAACAAATATATAGATATACTCGTGATGTTTTATTTTTGATCTGTTAGCATGTAAGACCATTTTATCAGATATTAATCTCTGATTAAGATCTGTAAATAAACATTTTAATTAAATAAAATACATACATTTCTGTCAATTAAAAAAAATAGAAATTAATGTTTCAACCTAAAGCTCCATAACATAAATGAAACCATTTTATGCATTTTATATAGTTTTCACATTCATTATTATTCTATTTAATAAAATCCAATTAAGAATTATATGCATTATACATGTCCATAGAAATAGTAGTATATATACCACTTAATTTATTATATAATTTAATTTGCATACAATCAATTTATGATAGATTGTTTTAGCTCTTTCTTAGTCAAACTAATATTAAATATTTAATTTTACATAATTATATATTCTATTTATCAAGCGTTGGATAAAATTATTTTGTTTAGAATAAAACAAAAAGCAAAAAATTTAGATAAATACAAGCTAATAATTAAGATATTCTATTATACAGTTAATTTTACAACTACAGCACACTTAAATTTTAAAAATATCCATAAAAATTTTATTATAATTTGACGTAAATAAAAATATTGCACATAACCAAGCTCTATTTTCTTAAAACTGGATCTGGCTTTTACGGTAAGGCGATACTTTTACTGTACAATATGGAAAATCAAAATACCAATTCATGTGTGTGGTTTAACATTACATATGTATATAAAACGCAAAGCTGATTGTATAAATTAAAGGATTTTCATAAATTATAAATCTAAAAGCAATATTAGAAAACTTTTAGCGTCACAATTACATCGAATATTGGATGATTATATAAATTGAAAATAATTTAAAATAGACATAACCGTTAGTATACATTTTCATGTCATTGTCCAATAAAAGCTGTAAGTTGGTAAAATTTAAAGCAACATGTTAGCATCTTAGATACCACCCGCCAAACTTCGTAGATACTACCAACTTCTATATATAATATCCTTTAAGTTTTTGTCAATCGTTTTTAAGAGTTTCAATCAAATGGATTACTCCAATGTTAATAATAAGAAGTTGAACATGGTTCCATAAGTCCATTTGATTTCAAATATTGTTTTTAACTTCATGTTTATGTTTTTTAAAATTTATAAAAAGTATGCTATAGTTATATAAATGAACATAATATACAAATTTAATTTAGTAAATATTCTCCTAGTATATTCATTAAATTTCCTTTGAATCCGGTTGGCCAACAGTAAATTCCGATTTTTTTCGCTAATCTTTTTAGCATCTTTAGCACAGATTAGTGCATTTTGCAAGCGTATTCAATTGTGAAATCAATTAGCATTTCATACTTTTTATATTACAACTGAATTTTGTGCCTGCATTACACTTCCAGTGTCAGAAACTCCACTTTGATCGAGTCGTCGGTAATTTTGGAATGTTTTCCATTCACCAGTATTATAATCTAAACGTATATGGGACTCTACTAAGCATAATGCTGTACTACCATCTTCCTGCTGAACTTTTTCCTAATATGAATCAAAAAGATTTATATAAGAATTACTGCAATCACAAATTTTACTAACATAATATGTACAAAATTTTTACCTCACTTTCACCCAACTTAATAACCAAAACATTTTCTGGATTTGGACGTGGATTTTCTCGTAACCCAGCCATAAAACCAAGTATAAGCGCTTTATCAGGTCTGGAAACACGATTCGCTTTACGAAACATTTCATGCGCCTTGTGTACATGTTCGTTCTACACAAACAATGAGAGTTAATTAAAGATTGAAGATAGAAGATTGATATGGAATAAGCGTATTTAATATTAAAGATGAGAGTAACTTGTTGTACTTACAGATAGTGACAAGCCTTTTCGCTGTGGAGCTTGTTGCTGATTTTGCTGTTGCTGTTGTACTTGTACGATTTGTGTAGTTCGTGGTATACTTGGATTATTTTGTTGTATTTGTATATGCTGCGGTTGGCCAGATGTGGTAATTATACGTTGTTGGGCTGGTTTATGTTGTAGCACTATCTGTTGCGGCCGTATTTGCTGTTGCTGTGTTGCTGGTTGTGTTATAATAGTGCGTTGTATTTGCGTAGGTTGATGCGCAGTCGAAGCTGTTTGTACTTGAACCAATTGAGGCTGATGTCCAGGCCGTTGTATTAATGTTAGACCTTGTGGCAATGCTGTAAGACCTCCTGGTACATTTGTTACAACAGGTCTTATAATTGTTTGCTGTGTTTGCTACAAAAGAGTCTTGTTATAAATTGGATGTTAACACAATAATAATAAAATATTACATTAATGAGATTAGTTTGAGGTTGTTGAACAATAACATGCTGTGGCGTAATTGTATTTTGAGGAATGATTGTTTGCAGTTGGGGTTTATTAGTGGTCTGCGTCTGTTGTTGCAATTGTATTGTATGTTGCTGTCCAGTTGATTGCGAAGTCTTCACTAGGCTTGGCGGACCTGCCGCATTTGTCATCAAAGTAGTTCCGGTCCCAATATTTTGAAGTGCACTAACATTACTTATTGGTATTTGTTGATACATATCGCCACCTATATTACGTAATATAAGTCCTTTTTGCGGTAGTATAATCGTTTTATTTTTGTTGTTTGAACTAATATTCGTTCCAACGCCAGCATTAGCATTTGGCTGTACAACCATTTGGGTTAGTTTAGGTTGTTGTGTTGCGGATGTGTTCGAGACAATAGTATGTTGTTGCTGTGGTTGTTGTTGCTGAAGTTGAGCCTGCAAATGTTGCTGCTGAGCTGCCTGTGATGCGGGTTGTATTGTAACCGGTCGGTTTGGAAGCTGTACATTCTGAATGTTTAACATTGTTTGTGGCTGGTTAATGCTTGTTGATGCTATAAGAGGTGGAGGATTGCCTCCAGTTTGCTGCTGTCGCATCGGAGTCATCATTACATTTGAATTAGAAGTCTTTATCAAAATTTTGGTAGGCATTTGTGAATTTGTATTCGTTTGATACAATGTTGTATTTTGCGTTGCAGGACGTGTTTGTGCAAAAGATGTTAGCGAAGGTATTTGGGTATTTTGTTGTTGCTGAGGTGTTGAAGAAGTCAATATATATTGATTTGTTGCTTGCTGTACCGATTGTGATTGTTGTGTGTGCTGCTGTTGGGATTGTTGCGATATAACAGAGTTCCCAGCTGATGAGTTGGCATTACGTTTTGCAGGTTGAATTATAGTTTGCGATATTATGACTGGACCACTACTAGTTGCATTTTTTAATTGACTTAACGGCATTGATTTAATAGTTTGCGCGTTAGTGGCAGTAGTTGGTGAAGTGATTGATTTCTAAAATATAAAATATTACAGCATAAGTAACTCAATAAAGATATTAATATATTAATATATTACCTGTCGTATTGTTTGCGTAGGAGACGAAAGAATAACTGGTGTGTTGCTATTAATAAGTATTGGCTGTTGTTGAACTTGTTGTTGCTGTGCCGATTTACTCTTACTGGATGTTATTTTAACAGAAATATTGTTTGGTAAATTTGCTAAAGGATTAGCAGTTTGACGCAATTGTTGACTTAACAAATTTGATGTGTTTGTTGCATTCGTCGTAACTGTTGAAGTTCTTGTTATAGGTTTTATGTCTAATTTCTCCATTTTAATTGGGGTGGCATTGTTACGCACACTGGAACTGGTTAGAGTAACCGAACCAATAGTTTGTTTCGGTGGTTGTGGTGCAGCGCGTATTAAAACGTGTTGAGAAGGTTGACCAGATTGTGGCTGCTGTTGTATAACAACACGCTGTTGGAAACGAGAAGTGGGCGATTGCTGTATTTGTTGCGTTTGTAATACTCCTGAAGCTTGCGTTAAGATTTGTTGCGGCTCAACTTTTTCTACCTTAATATTTGGTGGCACAATAATTTCCTCACTCTTTATTTCTATCTCTTGTTTAAAACGTTTATTATTATGCATCAAACTATTACTGCTGTTAGCTGGAGTGTGAACAATACTATTTGTAACTTTTGATAATGCTGGTGGTGAAGTAGCTATACTAGTCATATTAATAATTGATTTGGCAGCAGCCTTATTATCCTCCATACTGGTGCCTATATGCGAAGACGTTATTGGTGTTTGTGCGTAAGTTAACGAAGGAGCATATTCTGGCGTAATAGGTTCTGACTTAGTAATCTCAATAGCTGAAATTAATGGCTCTTTAACGTCAAGTTGATTTTCGTCAACAGTATTGTTCTGATTTAAGTTAGAGGGAGGTTCAGATTTTATTTCAAAAGTAGCATTAGTAGAAGTTGGTGTGGTTGGCGATATGGCTGTAGCTCCTTGTGTATTCGATTGCGTAGGTGATGTAGTTGGCGACGATGAGTTCGCAGCAGAAGCAGCTGCTGCTTGCTTTTGTTCCTGTTTCTTTTGCTGTTCTTCCAATTGTTGCTCACGTTTTCGCTTTTTAGCCGCAGCATAACCAAGTGGCTGTTCTGTAAATTCTATTAGTTTGATGCCACCATCTTTACGTCCAGCAGGTGTACGACTTAGATTCGGTCGTTGCTGATTAGGTTGTATATTTGGTGAACGGAAACCAGAAGTTGGAACCCGAGATGGAATTCCCTTCATTGGAGTTGTGTCTGTCATTTTACGGGGCATACCACGTGAGCGTAATGGAATAGTTGGCGCTGTGTTTTTCTTAAGCGAAGACTGAGCGTCTGCCGATTTGTGGAGTAGTTCCGTACGTAAATTGGCGCTTTTTGGTTTGCGTTTAATAGTGAAATGTTTCGTTGGATTTTGGTGCTGCCCAACCTAAAATTAGGTATATTAATTTTGCGTAATTATATTTGACCACATTAAAATTTAATAAAAAATAATATATAAAAAAAAAACAAAAAACTTACCACCGATACTAGCGCATTTTTGTTTAAATATAGACACTCCAGCGGTAGCATTCCCAAATCGCTGTGCTTACTAACTAGCTTGCGGAGATCGTTCACCATATCTGTGAATATCGGGCGGGTTTCTTCGTAATCGGAAATTTCTGTATTTAGCGAACCTGTCGCTGGAAATGTTTTCATAGTTTCTGCTAACATGGAAACCCATAGTTCACTATCCAATCCGGCGACTTCGATAACTTCTTCTAGCTCAGTTTTCCACTAAAAAGAATATTAAAATTTGTTTATTTAAAGCATAAATGATTTATCAAATTTGTGTTTGTATTATAAAATTACTAAGTGCCATAAAATAAAATTAAACCTGTTATGTTATAGTGTTTTGTAAATCGTATACGTTTATTGTTAAACGTATGAAAATAAAACTGGCGGGATCATTATAAACGTATGTCCATGTATGTGTGTATATACTGGCATACATGTTATGTACTATATTTTTATTCCTGTTAAATATATTAAAGCTAGATTTCTACTAAATTGTTAATTGCATATAAAATAATTATTGTCATCAAAACAACAATGAATGCAATATAATGTAAAATATATAATAAGGCGGTATTCACCAACGCGCTAATACAAACAACAATTTCACCAACGTCAAGCAACTTATGCAAGTGCGTGTGTTAGTGCCACTACCGTACGAATTTTTATAGTGCTTTTCATATTTACCTCTTCAACCATACGGCGGGGAATGTGAAAAAAACTCAACAAAAGTTTTAATTTAACTTGCGTCTGAAGATCAACAAAACAATCCTTTATATTTCTTAATACTTCCTTGTTCAACTGCGAGCAAATTGACCCACTTATCCACGAATCATTAGATGTGCCCAGCTTATTATGCAGCCACAAACTTGTGTCGCTGTCTCTAACGTTCGACATTTTAACATATATATTTCTTTAAATTCGATAATTAAAGTGTATTTTTATGATCAAAATTTGTGTATATTTTACATAAAAAGGTTTTTAATATATTAAAACGAAGTCAGTTTGTTGTACACATCCACAGAAGAGAATCAGAACTGTAGAGTTGCCACCGAGTGCTAAAGAAATTAAAGAGCAAAAATATTGCCACAAAAATTTTTATCAAGCCAACCACTAAGTTGCCATTTGTTATGAATAATACATACTTTGCTGTGCTATACAAGCTTGAAGCTGTGTATGCTTGAAGTATGGTTCATACTTTTCTCATACTTACCATGTATGACAAAAAACTAATATTTAGTTTTCTTTTCTATCAAGCATATGTATTACTATTTGTGTGAACTTATGCAATCATTTTTACAATGCTTTGAACCAAATATAACATATTTTTACCGTTCAAACAAATATATTCCACATCAAACCCCTATTGTATTATAAAAACGAAATAATTCTTCAGATAATAGTAATGAATCCATCAACATAATGCATTTCATTTTAAAAGTGCACAACAAATAATATCGTATTGGTGGCTTTTATCATATGGTCAATATCGTACGTAATATGGATATTTGTACACTTATAGAATTAAGATATATTTAGGTATACGCATAATTACGAATTTTTGAAATTAATGTAATTTAATGTTAAAAATATAAATAAAAGCCTCAAAGTGCATCACATAATTCTTCTATTAAAAGATATGAAAAATTAATAATATAAACAGATAATATAAAAATATTTAGTAAAATATTATAATTTTTTAATAAACATAAAGATGATAGCTATTTATGCTCACGTAATCAGAGTAATAGAGTAATTGTAATACAATATTATGATATATTGTTTCATAACACAGTTTTACAGAATTGCCACGTGTAAAATCAGTTCCCATTATGTCATAGCATAAGACAAACATTTTCTGCCTTCAAATTCTTCTAAATGGAATTCATTTCGGGCAATGAAACACTGCATAATAAACAAACTGAAAGGAAGCAATTGTCGACTACAGCCAAGTTGTTATTAGCATGTACTGGTGGCATAGGTTTGGGAATAACTATTGTATGTGGATCTTTCGTCGCACCTGCATTTCGTAAAATATGTTTGCCATATGTTCCAGCCACAACAGAACAGATAGGAAATGTATTAAAGTTTTTACCTAAAAATAACAGCAGTAAGCTCTTGGATATTGGAAGTGGAGATGGACGCATAGTTATTGGTAATTAAAGTAGGGCTAACGACTTAAATACAGTAATAACATATTTACACAATTTTATAGCTGCCGCTAAACATGGATTGCATGCCGAAGGTGTTGAACTGAATCCATGGCTTGTATATTTTTCGCGTTTATCCGCGTTTCGAATGGGTGTAAGTAAACAAACGCGTTTTTTCTGTAAAGATCTATGGAAATTTAACATTAAGTCCTACAATTATGTGGTTATATTTGGAGTTGAACAAATGGTTTGTATCAATGAAGATTAAAGTAGATAGTTTTTAAAAATTACAATTAATTATTAAAACAGATGAAAGATATTGAAAAAAAATTGGTTGCAGAGGCCACCGATGCTAAAGTGATTGCCTGTCGATTTCCAATGCCTCATTTAAAGCCCGAATCGATTATTGAGGATGGTGTGAATACCGTTTGGTTTTACGATTTAAACAAAAAATGAGTTTTATGTTTTTAAGATTTATTTTATATGTTTATTTAAAAAGTCGCAACTAAGTTAAATGCACATATAGTAATTTACAAAATGTAAATAGCTATACCTTACGCCTTACAAAAAATAAAAAATTTTAAAGTTATTTGATATAAGTATAACGAAACATTAATACAATGCGATATCAGTTCAGAATAACGAAGTGAGGATGTAATATAAAGAAATTTAAAAACTGCAGTTGTATATATTTAACTGAGCATACAGAGATTCGTTACTCGACTAACACAAAGCTTACTTATTTAAAATATTAAGTTAATGGTTTTTAAAACCAAAATAAATTGTTTTATTTGCTAAAACCGTCGTCCTAAATATAGTTCTTTTGTTAAAGGATCGCGAAAGATTTCTTGAAATCCTGCTTTTAAATAATACTGCACTTGTTCCGCGTCTGATAGTCGTACATGAACGCCGAAACACCCATTTGCTCTTAAATTAGCCAATGTAACTGTCAATAATCTTTTAACAAGGGCATGATCAGCCGTTAAGCTGCTTTTTAAAACAGCTATAGATACAATGCCTGAATACGTATTGCTTACTTCTTTTGGGCATTCGTATTCCGAATTATGGAAGTCATTAATCATTCGAGTAAAAGAATTGTTAAACTTTTTATTTGCACTGAACAATTCACTGTTATCTAAAACTGATTTTGGGTATTTTTCTTGCATTGCTGGTAACCAACAGATACTAACTTTACGGACGAATTGTTTTATATCTACAGCAGCGGCAGCATAACCTATAACGTTTTTCGATGAGTCAAAAGCAATAGTGCAAAACTCAGGACTCAATGTTATATAGGATCCCACCAAACTATCTGATATGAGTTCACATAACTTTTCCGGCAGTGCAATATTTTCATCTTCAACAGTTCCAAGAGTTAAGTAAAATTTTGTACAAACTTTATAAACGTCAATTTCGTCTATGTTAGTGTAGGGTCTCAGAATGGTACAATCTGTTGTAGGCAATTCAGGAAGCTTGTATAAAAATAGATCATTTCCGGAATCCACTGGCATTAAACGCTAGAATTATAAACATAATATAATAATTATAATAATTTTGTAAAAATATATTTTTCGTTACATTTATAAATAAATCAAAATAAATGTTTGCATAGATATAAAAGTATCTAAATTAGATTTTATATTTTTAATGTTAATTTTTTCTTGCCAAAAGTGACGCGTCTTTATAACGAAAAGAAACTATTTAAAAGTTGGACGGATTCGAATTATAAAGAAAACATTTTTGGTTTTTGTCCATTCTTTACTATTCGAATCCTTTTAAATTTTATATAATTATGTAAATATGTACCAACATAAAAAATAAAAAAGCAAATAATCATTTTATAAATAGTGTATATGAAATTATTTTAAAATAAAACGAAAGCACATACTTGTAAGTCTGCTGTTAGACCTCCTCGAAATACCCAAGGTTCTTGATCACCAGATTGAAATGTCTCTTTCCAACCTTTGCTAAACCCTATTGCAACAATTGTACTTAGTATATTATATAATTAAATAAAAAATACATTCAAAATGCTTACAAGTGAAGCTTCCTTGAGTAAAACTGCAGATATTTGGTGGAAAGTGTCCTTGACTTAACCATTTTACAAATGCATTTAGTAATATTAACGCTCCACCAATATCCCAAATATATGAAAATAGATCATGGCAGATTTCTTTATTTGCGCAATTCGCTACTTTTTTTAACAAATCTTGCACAGAGTCACATAAAACTGAAAAAGCTTCAGCGCGTTGTAACCATTCAACAACTTCTGGTTTTGGTGATTCGGCTGCTGATTTCTTCAGTTCACAAAGAACATTTGCATTTGTTTTTAACCAGTTAAATTCATTTAATAATTTAATTCCTCGACTGCCATGCTCGAAAGGTAAGTAAAACAAATCACAGAGTAAAAATAGGTCCTCCGCTTTAATTTTGGCATCTTCATTCAAAATCCTTCAAAATGTAAATGTTGTTACTTCATTTTCATTTAAAAAAATATTTTTATATACACACTTTTCTTCTTCATCCTTCATATCTGCATTAGATATAGGCGAAGACTCAGAACTTTCAATTTGCATGTTACTCTGCAATTTGATGGAAACATTAATCATTTCAAAAAAAATATCTTAATAAATATGAAAAAACACTCACATTGCACTCATTTGTAGAAGTGGTCTCTGCCATAATAATATCTTCTGAATTAATTTTGCGTTCGTCTTTAGGAGGAGTTTGGGATGCTTGACTACTACTGCATTCCATCGGCTCATTTCCTGTGCTGATTGGACTTAAATTGTTTTCATCTGTCATATTGACTATATCAGTGGATAGAGAAGCGCTTTCTCGGTCTTGGGGTTTTTCATCAATTATTACGTCTTCCTCAAGATTACTTATAATTGGTAGAAGTTCAGACTTGTCCTTTTCTTCTAATAAATCAAAATTATCGTTATTTTTATTGTTGCTATCATCATCATGTTGGACTTCAGAGAGTTCCATATGTGATTTGATTATTTCAGTGCAAATGTCATCTGTTTTTAATGGAGTATTCTCTTTTGTATTGTGCTGTTCATTATCGATATGTGATTGGCATACGTCCTCGACAGTTTTTGCGTGCATTATAGGAACAGATACAACTGAAATTGGAATTGTTTTAGGTAGCTCTATTGCGGATGCGACACTCGAGGTAATTGGATTTAAAATATCATCATTTGTGACTACTTTAGTAGGAGAAACTAAAGAGTTCATCACAGGATTAGAAATGGGATTTACGGCTGAAGAATTCACAGTGCTACAAACATCAGCTAGAGCTCGAAGCTGTGTTGTGTTCACTTCTGGTACTGTTGCAGTTTTTGTATTGGTCGATGTAGTTGTAGTTGTGCTCAGACTCATACAAGTGTTAATTGATGGTATGATAGGAATTATTGGTAATACCACTATAAAAAATGTTTTACATTATCAGAATTTGCATAAATCATATTATATAAATTTACTTGTAACTTGTGGTTGAGGCTTACTTATGGGACCCCATGCTTCTTTTTCTATAAAAAATTCAGGCAGCCATTCAGCTATAGCGCTCCTATTGAATTATGATTTTAATATTCACAATGCATTACTTATGTCTAAGTATAACTTACTTAAGTGCTATTCTAGGATGATAAATGTTTTTAGAAAGACGGCAGTCTGTAGGTTCTTCGGAACTAATGCCATCTTCGTTTTCAGTTTCAAGTTTAATATCCGCAAGACAACCTATACATAAATTTATGTACAGATATTTCAAATAAATATATAATATTAGTAACAAATTAACAATTTTAAAATTTCATTAACATACTGTTCACTTTTGAGTCCATACTGCATTTAGACCAATGAGCTAGTGAGTGTATTGCAATAGTATTTGCATGAAATTCACAATTTGGATTTGTCATTACACCCCGCAAATGTGGTATTAACTCTGGGGAACGGCCTGAGTAGGGACCCAGGAAAACTCGTTTTTGATCATAATCATTTGCATGTAAGTTATCCCATATTACGGGTGGTCGACGCAAAATTTCGGTTATTTCCTGTATAGATTCTAGCGTTATTATCTTTGATATAACTTTATTACCAGTCCACATAATATCAATATCGTGATTTAGCTTAGAACCCAATGTATTTAAATATTCTGAATCATGTAACGTGGGTATAGCCCTGGAACTACAATATTGAGTTGGACAGAAAAAAAATTTTGGATTTCCTAAATGTGTGTAAACTTCATTTGTAACAGAAACCTATTAAAAAAATGGTTTAAAATGCGCAGCGGAACATATATTTATATCTTTATGAACCTGTGCATTGCCAAATGTTTGAAATACTTCCTTATCAACCTTGGAGAGCTCTGCTTCGATATCATCAAATAGTAATGCAAACGCCTGAAACATTATTTAAATACATTCGAAATATAAATATATATATATATATATATATGTGTGTGTGTAAATATAAACAATTTTAATTAGAATATAATACCTCGCAACCAAATTGAGAGACCTGGTCCAATTTTCTTTTCAGGGTTTGTATTTCTTTTTGACTACTGTAAGTCATATCTAAACCTGGAGATAGAGCATAATAAAATACAACATCGTGTTCTTTTGCCGCTGATATTAAACCTATTAAAATATAATAATAAATGTTTATTTTGTTTATACTTTTTGTTACTTACTCGATAAATGATCGGCTTCTTCTACAGTGTATAATTCACGCCAATAAGCCCGGTGCTTATAATCATCTTTCGGAGCATACACGTAAGAATCCATTCCCCATTTTTTTAACCTAAACGTGTGTATATTTTAAATTCGTTATTGTAAAATTTAAGAAACTCACTTCCGAAAAAGATCCTTCCGTTGTTCCATTGTCCATGGTCGTCCATAAAAGCCTATAAAAAATGTACGTCCACATTATTAATATCTCTAATGCATGATTATTTTCTACCTTCAATAACACCGCATATAAAATTTTTTTTATTGTTTTTTACAATTTCCGGCTGGGTACACTTTTCAATTGAATCTTCCATTCTTATTAATTAATTAATAATATGATTAAGTTCTCTAAAGTATTAACGTTAGAATTTGATTTGTTTATTACAATAACTAAGAGCACCAAGTAGAAATTGCAAACTTTCGTCAAAACAAATGCTGAACAACATTGCTATGATCTAAAATTATAGGTCGAATTAAGGTAGCATACAATTCAATCAGTTCATGCATTGCGTAGCAAACAAATGTTGCCATCGAAAAATATGTCCAAATAACGCATAAATATGCACAATACAATATTTCATAAATATGATTTATATGTTTATTATTTATTACAAATAAAACTATGTATATAAAATGCATTAACATGTGCCCTAAGCTAGCTGGCTTTATATATTAATATCGTTTGTTTTTGTTTGGGTTGTATGATTGAGACAAGAAATGCTTGAGTTAGTAAAATTGAAGCAGCCCATACTACTCACATGTATGACAATAAAAAGTAAAAATAGATGGCATACAAAATAGAAAAACAGAAACAAGATATAGAAAATAAAAACAAAACAAATAAAAAGAAATGTCAAAAGGCACATACATTTGTTTGCGACCAGCAACTTACAATTATATTAATAATTTTAATTTATATGTTTATTTCCTATATATGAGTTTGTCCAGAAAATTGTGTTGTATTATATATAAATCCAGTGGGAATATATTTTATGAATAAAATTAATTTCAAGTTAGCTCAGTTGAACTGAACAAATCATTAATGCAACCCTTTATTGTCATAAGGAATTATCGCGATGATGATGAACTTAAATGCCAAGAAGTTGTACGAGATTATATTATGTCCTTTGCGAGGAAATCTTTTTGTTGCTTCTGTTTCAGAGAGGTAAGAATTCAGCCACTTGTACATATATAAAAAACACTCAAACTTACATATTTATTACAGATAACACTGCAATTTATTGTAATTACATGGGCAATATTATTTATTTTCCTAGGAGTACCGCTTACTTTTTGCGCACTTACAATCCCTGGTTGTATATTTTTTCTTTTTTCTGGAACCTATTTTTCATTCTATGCAAAAGCTGTTGAGTTGATGAAAGTACTGCGAACATTTAAATGTTAAAGAAAATAACTAAATAATAAATATGTATGTACTTTTTTATAGACAAAACCATCGCATTCACTAGTTGCAGAATGTTATGAACCATTTCTTTTTCGTTGCAAGCCAAATGAAGTAACATATCTAATATTTATGGAAAATGCACCATATGAACTCACTTATATTAATAAATTTAGGAAAAAGGTTCTTATTTCAAATCATTGCATTATTGTATTTAAATGATTCTTTGTTTTTAGATAATAGCCACTGTTAGTGTAAAAAATCATAATTCGGTGTATAATGGTGCTTGGATATATCGTTTTGCCATAGATAAACAATATCCATTTCATAAAATAGCAGAACCAATGATCAATCTGGTATCAAAAAATTGTTTCGCAACGGGTTATACAACACTGGAGTGTACCATATCAGAATGGCAGGAGGATGAACGTGACTTTTTTGACAACTTGGGGTACAGATTCTACTTAATAACTTAAGTAATACGTTTTGAATATTCTTTTCAACAGATTTGCAACACGTCAAATTTATCACAAACAAATAATAGGCAGCAGCTTAACAGTGATGAAAACTCAATTAACGTGCGATTTACGCTCGGATGAAGCTTTACAAAAAAAGAATTAAACTAGTATTTTTCACAAATTAACTGGTATAAAATCTCTATGAGTATTTTAATATAATACATTCCAATAAGTACACATCACAAAAATGAGGCATCTTTAACCACAAATATAAATGTCAACAAACTTTTTAAGTTACTTTTATATACTTAATTTACTGAGAAGTACGATATATCAATATTTTTATAACTGTAAAATATAGTATAATATAATTAATAATTGCTTTGATGAACAAGTAATTATATATAAATTTTTAGTATATATAAAAGAATATATTGTTTTTTATTGTCTTTCGAAATTGTTTGTAATAAGATGAAAGAAACGTTAAAGATTAAACCATATTATATGTATTCTACATATTCTTGAGCCGCATGACGGTTTAGCCTTATCCGTAATTTGTCTAGCATCAAATTAAAAGAAATAATCGAATGGAGCTTAATACCGTAACTACTTGTAGATTCTATCATGTTTTCATGTAGGTAATACTGCATAAATAATTTAAATTTGTAGTTTATAATTAAAATTTAGTTGCATTAAATGTAAGATCGAAATTTAAAAATAGAGTCATAAAAATTCATTAAGTTTATAGAAAACAATATCTGCACCAAAATTAACGTTAAAATTTAAAGTTAGAGTTATTTTGATAGCATGAATCATAAATTAAAGGTAGTAAACTGCTATGGGCGACTTTAGCTATTATAACGTATTGTGCTCATTAAACACAATAGTGCAACAGTTAGAAAACATTTTTTCAAAATATAAGTATATATTTTTTATTGCAATCGTATAGTCCTTTAGGCTGAAAATAAAAATATGTCGCTAATTATAATTATTTAATAAAAATTAATTGATATTATAGCCTAAATATATGTAAATGATTTTAGAAAATACAATTTTTTTCGTATTTGAACTAAGCACACTAAATAACACAAGTATTTGTTTTTAATATTTTTTTTATTGTTTGAATATTTTGTTTTTATTTTAATAAATAATATACATTAAATAAAATGTTAATCTTCCAGCAGGCAATCAATTTGTTTTTAGATTACAATTCCCTTTAACTTTCAATAACATTTCGTTATACGTGAATATTTTCGGTGATAAAGGTACTTTTATTGTATTTATTCGTAATAAAAAAATATAATTAGCAGCAAAAGAAATAAACATTATTTTAATAATATAGAAAAGCTAATTTAATTTAAATAACCATGCTTATAGATTATTTTTCAACTTGGCTGCTCTAGAATATAGTTCCGTCCAAATCAAAAAATTCAGCATTTAGCTGATTTACTATTTAACGACAGCACCACCATTTCAAAAGTAGCAGTCGGTAGCGTTGTGATATCACTGGCAAAGCTTAAATTGTGGCAGGGATGTTCGAAATTTTATATTCTCAAAATGCTTTTATTGGTACTAATCTAATATAAAAGTTAGAATTTGGTTTCATGGTACACTTCTCTAGGAAGGACTTTTAAAACAACTTTGCGCGTCGTTTTAATTCATTTCGTCTCCATTGTGGTAATCTGTAAAATTCAGCTCTTGTGCATTGCAAAACATGTTCAAATTCTACGTCAGATAAATGTCGCTAAAAATATAGAAGGTAAAAATAACTACATAAATATTTAATACTTTAAGTATACCTCTAAATTGCAGCGGTCCACGTCTGATGGTAGACGATAATTTGTGATGATTAATAAGTGATAAGGATAAATTTTAGCTGGTTCATGCACAAGCATCGAGTGCGCCATATTTGGTAAACTACGTCTTATTAAACCAGCTTGTGGATAATGATAAGAAAGCGCTCCAGAGTATGTACTTGACGCAGGCAATTCACCACCCATCTAAAATTAAAGTTAACACGGTTTTCTAACAATTTTAATTGAGATTTTATTAATAATTTACCAAAGCACGTCGGTCTCCTTCTGTAATGGAATCTACTGATGCTTGAAATATTTTTTAAAATAGAATTAATGTATTTTTTAGATTAATCATATTTTGAATCTACCTTCTGATTTTCCACAGCTTAAATCTGTACTATGTGTTTTATCACCCAATCCTCCATAAGAATAATCCTATATAAATTAAATCAATTTTTATTATAGTTTTTGATTTCATTAAAATTTATTTAAATAAAATATTAAACCGACCATTTGGTAAATTAAATAAATATGTATTTTTTTTATGATATGTGGAAAAATTAAATTAAAATTAGAAAAAAAATTATAGTAATATTTGCAAATCATTAAAGATTATAGTTGTAGTGACGACATGCATTTTATTCATAAAAATAATTTTCATTGAATTAACTAATTATATATGTGAGAAGGTATTTTACACTTAAATATTTTTAAGAAAAGTAATATTATCTAGACCGAACTAGACCAACAATGATAATAATAATAAAGATACTTTATAAGAAAAGAATTATAGAAATGCAAACTGGCTCGCATTTTTATCCTTTAAATAAATAAAGAGTTTGGTCTTTCTAAAGCTATAGTCTTATCCGCTAGTTTTTAGCCACTTTTCAGATTTTTTAAAATTATTGTATTTTGCAAACTGATAGAACTTTTAAATTATTAAAATTCTTATTAAGGAACAATAATATATTGATTCTTTATACATAATCAGTGTTTTGAAAAAATAATGAATAATAAAATGTTAGACTTAAGTTTTATGAATCAAGATGAGTTATAAAAAATCTTACAATTTAACACTTAAAGCAAATACGGAATGAAATTAATGGAATGAAAATGTATTACTATTACATGTGTTGGTTTCGGAATACGGCCTGAAAACATCAAATATAACTTCAAATATTTTACTTTGAACCAAAATATATGAAAAATAATAAATTAAAATTGATTAGAAAATATAAAAGTAAATGTATAAATATTAATATTCAATAGTCTTAAACACATATATGAATTTTATAATCTCATTACGATTATAATGAGATTATTCTTTAGTATCTACTATTTGGTTACATTAAAAGAAAATGTAGTTCTAGTTGATATAAATTTTAAACATATTTTATCATATGATAAATTGTTATATCAGTTGTTCATAATATATCAATATGAATTGTTTAAAGGCGAAAAAGTTATATTATCTATTTCAAGCTCATATTTTATTTTATTTTTTTATTTATTTATATAATATATATAAAAAAATCTATTGTAAATTGAATATAGATTTTTTAAACATTTGTTATAAAGGGTTCTAAATGCATTTTAAAAAGCACACGTTATTTTGCACTGCACTAAATTTCATTTTTAATAGTTGCAAAAATCAGTAATTTTAAATTGAGTATAAAAAGTACTATTAACATACTATCAACAAATAAAAAAACATCTAACTTCGATTTCTATCAGCCTATTAATAATTTTTTATTATAAAATATAAATTTATATGTTCATTTCAATTGTGCTCGCATGCAGAACTAGGTCAATGCATAAACTTTTTTATTAGAGCTTATATATGTTAAAGAATAATTGTTAAATAATTGGATTAACAAAATGAAAATTCTATAAAATAAGTATTAACAACATTTAAAGCGCTTACAATAACTGCACCACCATGTACATTTGCACCGGCGGATGAGGTTGAACTAAAGGTATGAGAACGAGGAGCCAAGCCGTATCCGGGTTTAATTATATGACGCAGTGAGCTCACCACTAACGACACGACGTCGAAATTTGTACATTTTTGCATATTTTTTTAACATTGTGTTGAGTGTTTTAGTTATAATTTATAAGATGATAAGATGAATGAACGAACGTTGATGTTGGAAGTGTGATGAGGTATGACAATTTTGCGGTTTGTATGGATGATTGAATTTATACGTGCATGTTCATAAATGATCGTTATGATTTTATATAAAAAGTTGAATTATTCACCAGGAACCCATATTAATGTTAGTGTAAGTCGGTGTTCATACAGCAAGTACATTAGCAGCAACCAATGGCAATAAACAGCAATTCCAGTACCCAATAATAATAATAAGCAGCAGAAAGTAAAAATAGAAATGTAGGTAAATATTATATTACTTTTATGATCTATACAACTGCGCACATAATTGAGTACTTATATATGAGTAAGTTTAATCTATGACCACCTATACTGAGAGATATTTGTACACATATAACATATATAATTAAATTTTACACAATTGTGTTATTGTTACAATTCTGTTGAAGCATCGTTGAAATGGTTCGGCTAAATATTTCAAAGAACACTCGTTTCTTTAACTTACTGAACTATATCCAGAGCGCATATAAGGCGGCAAGGTTGATGTTTTAAAGCCATATCCAGGCTTTGGTGGCGATCGGTAGGAATGTATTGCTAACAATAATATTTGGTATTGAAATAAAATGATTAAAAATGAAAAACAGAGATAATAATTAACAAAAATCAAGATACAATTATAAATCCATGAAATAATAATAATAAAAAAATATTTTAAAATTGAAATAAAAATTTAAACTAATGGTTATCATCATATAACTTAATTAAAATGTATTATACTGCATACGAAATTTATTATAAAATAAATAAAATTATAAAACAATTGCAGTTAATTTTATTTTTAAATAAATCAAAAATATTTAAAAAATATATTTAACGAATAGCCCTGCATCTTTCTTCATTTTTATACATAAATTATTTTCTTCTGAAATTCTAACCTTTCTTTTTAAGTAACCTAAAATTAGTTTTAATTTTTCTAATATAAAAACATTACATTAAACTAACTGTCTTCTATAGAAGTTTTAAATTTAATTACCGTTGTAACTAGGCGCATTGCCAAGCGATTTACCAAGTGAACCTCTATAGCTGGTTGATCGATCGAACGCTTCATCTTCGTAGAAGGGTTTCTGATGATCCAAATTACGTGATGGCGAGGCACCGATAGGTGATTCGTACCTAAATATAATAAACTTGTGTATAAGATGTATTCCCTATGCAGATTCGAGTATAGATAACTATACCTTAATTTATGAATAGGTTCTTTGGATGCTGATGGTGTACGTGATGCATTTCTTGGATCTAAATTATTTTGCTTCCATTTCCTATATTTTGCATGTTCTTTAAGATCTTTGGCTATCACTGATCCGATATTAGAATTGAGTTTTTCTAATTCTTCAGCTTCTCGTTGTAGTCGTCTGATAGTTTTTGAAAAGTAAAGTTAATGTCTTTTACTTAATAAATTTAAAATAACTTACAATTGAACTTCTCCATTCTTGGTATTATCGACTTCGTCTTCATCTGAAACAGGAACTCCTTTATATGAGTCACTATAACGTCGCCTTCGCTCAGGATCTGTGTAGGGATATGGTGGTGCAGGAAAATCATCTCGCTCAATTTTTGGTTTTTCACCCGGTGGTGGTTTTTTCGCTGCTGGATAATGTGATAATTCAATAGGTTCTTCATTGTTCATACCTGGACTTTTAGGACGTGGCGTTTCTGATCGTATTGCATCAACTAGCACTTTCATAGCACTGCGCGTTCTTGAATGTGGACGCGACGATGGCCTGCTACCAGACACAGAACCACCAGTACTAGTGGCATAAGAAGATGGGCGATGAAAGTGTGGTGATAATGGTGTTTTATCATATGGATCAATTGGCTTCCTAAGATAATGAGGTGCGTCCGTCAAATAACTATACGTATAAATACGTGAAATGTCTTCATATCCAGGCCGACCATATTCCCTCAATATCAAACCAGGACTTACAGTTCGATAGTGCTATAATTGTTATAATATGTTATTAATAAATTTATGCTCATAAATTTGTTTAAATTAGTAAAATATTTAGCACTTTAGCGCCCTTTTAATGTGCAGCGGTATTTATAGGATAAAAATTATGTATTTACGAAAAAAATAATATAAATAAAATGAAATAATAATATAAAATAAAAACAAACCTTGCGGCTAGAGGAATAAAGTGAACCATTAAAACTCGGTGTTCTGGAACGCATGTACTGAAAACAACAACAAAAACCATTGCAAGCTGATAAAGAAGTGAAAACTAAAATGCATAATAATATAGGATAAATCATAAGGTTCTAAAATAGGAGGGATGCCAGTACAGCAGGTGCGGCAGTTTGACAATCATGCGAGCAGGCGAGTGCTCAGTGTGGTTAGTGGCTTTGCGGGTCTTTATTTTCAATATATATATATATATATATGTGTGTGTATATATTTATATAAGGTGTGAATGTGTTGTTCGGTGATAAGTGTATTTATAGCCAAAGAATTGGTGCACCTCGCCATGCCATATAATATTTATGTATATATTTCAATTGAAAAATAACTTACCATTTCACTAAGTGCACTAGAGCTAATGCGATCGCATTCAGTATCTGTAAAATTACCGTTGCTAGTAACACCGGTACCATTTAAAATTATACCAGCTTCCGATGGACCAGGTCCACAACGAGGATGCCAAATTGCACTACCTTGTAGGTACATTTCTTCACCATCACCAAATGGATCACCACACTTTGTGCAACGTGCACATGTTGGATGGAAGTGATGATTATCTCCTGCCTGTAATACTTTTCCGCTTATGAAGCGATTGCAGTAAGCACATTTTACACCAAATGATTTTTGATAACATTTCTCACAATAAGGTACACCATCTTTACCCATATACTCTCCATTTAAAACGGAGTTACAGGATTTACATCGGAAACACCAAACGTGCCATTGACGATCTAAGGCGACCAATGCCTGACCTTCTTTCAAAAGTTCTCCACAACCAGCACAATCGTTCGGATCATAATCTTCTTTAATGCGAGCCCTATCTGAAATCGCATTACTCATCTGCTGATGTGCTGTAGCCCTAGTAGGACTTTCTGCTAACGGTGGTGGCGATGCAGTGCCATCTTTATGTACTATATCATTAGTTTTTTGCACAGGCGATGCAGCAGGACCTGCAACACAGTTTTCGCATAATACTTCCTTGCCAGTATTAGTAACCTAGAAATGAAGAAATTCTTCAGATGCACGCATTATTTAAATAATGTGTATGTGTATGTACTTTGCTTCCAGACTTAAATGGCTTACTGCATTTGGAACACGTAAAACATTTCTGATGATACGTCTTCCCCATAGTTGAGACTACCTCTCCCTCTACATATTGCTGGCAGGCAGCGCATTTTGTTCCGTATAGCCTCTGATAATCAGGAATGCAATAATAAGCACCATCCTTTGTAAAGAAACCGCCTGTAGCTAGTGATTTCTTACACTGGCAGCACTGAAAACATGCCTTGTGAAAGTGTTTATCTGCCACACGTAGAACTTCTCCAGAACATTTTTTGTCGCATTTTGCACAGTAAATTTTTTGTTTTCCTAAAAATAAAACAAATTATTATGTGTATTTTATATAATCGTTAGTTTTCAATGGATTTGCAAAAAAATTTATATCAAAAATTAAATTAAAAAATATGTTCGAAGCCAAAAGACAAAAGTTTTAAAAGAATTTGTAATTTATATTCAAATGTTTGTTTATAAATTATTAATATATTATTCTATATATTGTAACATAATATTATACTAGTAAATATTTTCAATATTTGTTTTTTACTTTACAGTAATTTTATTTTATAACTTATTATTAAATAATAATAGTCGTAACCTTACAAATATGTGGGGTAGAGCACGATCGTTTTTTGCCTCAAACACGTAGTAATTAAAGCAATATTTATATTTATGTTCTATGTAAATATATATATATGAATATGTATTAATTTTTCTAATGTTGTAACACTTAAGCAATTGTATTTTTAATTATTTACATTACATAAGGTATATTTGTATAACAATCAATGAAATAAGTGTATCCTCCATATAGCTTTTGTAATATAAAATAGTTACGAAATGAACCACAAACTAAAGGCAAAGAAAGCATTTAAAAAAAATGAGGAATTATATAATGTATGTATAGGTTATACACATATATATTTTATACAATATAAAATTTTCCAAAATTTTCCAGAAGACTTCATATTGCGATTCTTTCTTCTATTCGAATTATAGGCTAGCAGTTATAATTGTACCTGAAAAAGTCAAACTACTTGAGTAACTGCTTGAGTTCTCTAAGTCAACTAATAACTAATAATAACAAGATAAACAATTCTTTATTAAGTATAATTATATTTTTATTATTACAGAGTTTTATTGCCTCTTCCGTAAAAATACACATTCTCAGGAACCTATTCAATATGTGCATTAGCGCAAGACATTCTAACAGTACATGTGTGGCCGACTCCTCATTTTCATCGCAGAATCTGCAGTTTGTATCTATATGTATACCCAGTCATGTAATTTTATCAATTATACTTATAAAAAGATTTAAATCTAATACTTGTCTTTATTTTGATTCAAGTATAGTCAAGTATAATTTCAAACAATTTAAGAATGAGTACATTCTTTTTTACAAAAAAAAAAAAAGATTTACATATATTCTCATAACTTAATTTATTAAATTTATAAGAATTTAAAGAAATGTAATGAATTCCAAAGCTACTTAAAAACAAATGCACAAGGACGAAGTATCTGTATTTGCTGCAATCGAAAGCCTTGAAAACCTTGTATTGTTCGGCTGAAATGTATGAACCAGTAGTAGTTGTTCGTATCTGATTTTGACCTATATAGAAAGCATACACGAGTACCTCGAGAATACGGAAAGAAACATATTCACCTCTAAAGGTAGATGAAAATAAGTAATAAATAATGCAAACAAATTCTTTGCGAAGTTTGTTTGTTTGGCAATTTTTATTTAAAAGAGCAAAAAATATTATTCATGCTAATTGCATCTAACGATGCGATAATTAAAATTTCGATATTTACAGAAAGAACAGAAAAGAACAAATTTTTAAATTAAAAAGACCTCGAATGGATTTACTGTTAGAATGAATTTTTAGCCGGAATATAAAATTTGCTATGTGTGAATTTGTTCAAAATATGAATAATAGATACAATTGTGGAATATAACATCACCGACCGTACGCTATGCGTACGATGTATGTATATGCATAAAAAGGTAAAATAGAGACATACAGTAAAATCGCATAAAAAGTATCTTGTAGATATATGTTAAAATGAAATGAAAACATGATTTGGTTATATGGACAATGCTGCTTTCCGGTATGGACATGTACATGTGTACTTGTTCTTCTCTCGACACAGCAACTGCAGAAATTTATTGCGTGTGGCAATCCATAAAATTGGACATGTAAAAATTTTATTTCAAATGTTGAGCATGTATTAGAAATATAATTACTCAAATACGTGAAGTCATAAGAAATAATGAGGTCGGCAGAGGTTTGGGTCAGCATGGGAAGTAAATTTAATTACGGGAAACAGTGGCGTAACTACAGGGAAGCAACTGGAAGCAACGCTTTCGGGCCCCCGAATTTAGGGGGCCCCACTATAAATTTTTGTATTCATTGTATTTCTTTTTAATAAATTCTCAAAAGTGGGACGAAACGTTTTTTGTTGGAATAACATCATATTGCATTTTATAAAAGATACGTAAATTTTAAATTTAAAGTACATAATATGTATGTACTTCAAATAAAATATTAAACCTATTTATGAAATAAAAAAGTTTTTCTAAGAAAAATATGTGTCTTGATCGAGAGTTTATATGGAAGCTATATCTAAATTTAAACCCATTTGAAAATAATTTTGTACGTTGTCTTTTGCAAATATCAGTACTGTATACACCATATTCCATTTGAATACCTTTATTAAAAACGGAGAAACCTCATATCCGATTGTTAAGTTTATATCACAGCTACAAGAAATAGACGTCCAATTTTAATCAAATCAAATGGTGAACAGGGTGCGCTCCCGAAAAGTATGTGTATAAAGTTTTATTCGAATAGTTCAAAAGCTGAGAGAGTAGTTTGAACTGTAAAAGTATACTGATATATACTTAATGGTATTTCCGAAGTTTCCTTTAATGCGTTACGAAAATCTTGACAAACCTTATATACCCTTTTTACATTTTTTCGTGTAAAGAGTATAAAAAGGGGGGCCCCTTAGTATGTTGGTAAGGGCCCCTTAGTTAGAGTTTGCTTACAGGCCTAAAAAATATAGTTACGCCACTGACGGGAAACCTATAAAAAGCTTCGTCGGTTAAGAGTTTATCTACACTATAAAATTGTTCGTTATTTTCATATACGAAATGACTGTTTCTGATTTAATAAATTATTGAAACTCAATCTACTATGATCAATTTTATGAACAATTTTCCTTTACCATTTGTGTTATTAGTGCATAACAATATTTTGAAATTTGATCATAAAATATATTGGTACATTTGTACATTTTATTGATTACTTGCTAAAATGTGAAAAGGTATGTATTCAAATAAATATATATATTAGATTTATTAATTTGGACTTTAAGATACTGCTGATGTTACCTTAACTGGTATTCAGCAGATGAAATCTGCCATCTTAATAATAAGTTCATAATAAAAATATATACTGATTATATACAAAATTTATTACTATTTGATTTTAATAAAAATGCATATCTTCGCGATTTTTCGAAAGATATCACGTATATCTATCACACAGAATTAAAGGAATTGCTCCCTTGCGTTAAATACTGAATACGTTTTCATCAATTTACAGATCTTGAAAGAAATATTTACGATAATTACTATGTAATGTAAACACTACAAACTTAACACAGATTATAGTAACGGAGATCGGAGATAATTTGTATAGATAGCAGATTTTGATATATGATTATTGTGAGCATATGATTTTATTGTTTATTGAGTTTAGATTTTAATGAGTTTATTGAAGCATTCTTTTCTGTGATCTAAAAACGTTTAATAAATTAATGTGATAAGAACATATAATTTAAATACAATATATCTTATTAATCAAAAGACTTCAAATCGTTGATTATGATTATATGATCATAGTATCGTACGGTTTGGAATGTCTTAACATATAGCAAACAGTTGCAAATGGAAAGTAAAACAAATAAACAAGTCACCTTAAAATTTTTCGGCAGACATTGTAAAGAACTGTGTTATTTTTAGTAAGTAAAAATATTTTTAAATCTCTCAATCTTAATGTATGATGTAGAGATCTTGTCTATGAAAAATTCAGGAGGAATTTGTTGCTTTGAGACTAAAACAGTTTTTTTTCAGGCAACTACAAGATAAGCATTGGTTGCTTAAAATTGAGATATTACGTTAAAAATAAAAGAGATTTGATGTCCACAATAAAGAAGCGATTAAACCTACAATAGCTTTAATAGAGTCAAAATGTGCAATGAATAATTACATAAAATGAAGATGAGGATAGAGAGATGGAATGAACATTATGGTTGTGCAAGTCATATAAGAATATTTGACGATAATCGTAACCACTAGAGAAAAATAATGGTTCACTGAAACAGGGCAATCCACTTTTTATATACTAAATGAGCCCGTTTTCCATGTGGCAAAATTGAATTCGATGTATAAGGTTATAAACATTCAAAAATTTAAAGAATTCGGGTAGTACACTAAAACTTGAATTGAAATTCTAGCTTAACATTTTTCTACTCTATATTTTATTTTATTACTAAGTCAAGAGGTCAATTGAAAAAATTTCATTTAACACAAGACTTGAACTTATCAAATAAATGTTCGTTCTTTATAGGTTGAAAATTTATAGAATTACTTGAAATTCTATAATCCCCAAAACAAAATTAAAAATAAATTTTAATTTTAAAGAAAATTTAAATGTTTAAATATTCAAATTATTTTATTAATTTTACTTTATCTTTTGTAGTCGTCACTGTTTTAAATGACGTCATTTCTAAATACAGTCCATTTTTTTTTAATTTAAAATTCAAGGTTTGTATAAAAACAGGTTAAATAGAAATAATGAATTTACAAATAATTTCATGTTTAAAATTCAAATACGATTTTTATTTAAATATGAGATGTGTTGTATTTTAAATAATCACAAAATGTTACAACACAAACTTTGTTTGATGTATTAAAAAACAGTATTTTTTAAACTTTAGTTGTTTTTTAAAAATGTTAAATAAGTTTACAATTAAATTACAGTTACATCATTTTAAAATTTAATTTATTCATTTTTCTTTCTGCGCAAATCTCAGAATAAACTTAATATGGTATATGCTTTTTGCCGTCAGCCGGCATCATTATTATGATATTATTGCAGGTTTTTTATCTCGCTACATACTAAAATAACAAGGGAAGGCTTTTGCTAAATCAAACTTTGGGGTGAAATGTGCTTGATTATTGTGTCAAAATCTGTTGGTAAGGAGAACCAACAGATGATGTTTCAATGAAATTTTTAAATTTCATA